TGAGGACTTTCCTGACCTTATAGACTGATGCGCCTGGAAACATCACTTTCCTGTTCTTAGGCTTAGGATTCTTTCCAAAACACTTTTTATATCATCTCCAAGCTCTTTCCATTCAATCTCAGTATCCCAGCAGGCCAGAGCCTCACCACTTTGTTATTTTGAGACAAGGTTTTTCTGTATTGCTTTGGGGCCTGTCCTAGAACTCACTCTGTAGACCAGGCTACCCTCAAACTCAAAGAGATCCACTTGCCTCCTGAGTGCTGGGACTAAAGGTGTGAGACACCACTTCCTGGCTGCCTGAGGCCCTTTTAATTTATGCGTGCCTATGGAGTAGATTCACTCTGATCTATCTATCATCTATCCTCTCTCTCTCTCTCTCTCTCTGTGTGTGTGTGTGTGTGTGTGTGTGTGTGTGTGTGTGTGTGTGTGTGTGTGTTCAGACCTTTCACTTATTAAAGAATGTACCCTGGACAATGGGTAGACCTTTTACAAAAATAAGAATGGGCTGATCTGTGGTGGCACACACCTTTAATCCCAGCACTAGGGAGGCAGAGGCAAGTGGATCTCTGTGAGTTGGAGGCCAGCCTGGTATACAGAGCAAGTTCCAGGTCAGGCTCCAAAGCTACACAGAGAACCCCCGTCTCTAAAAAACAAACTAATAATAATAATATTCACACTCTGTGGAATTATCCTTAGGCAGGATGCCAGACGCAAGGAAGGTAGAGTGGTTTCCCAGCTGTTTGGCTCCTGTTGAATCTTTGACCAAGCTTTAGAGTGAGGTACCTCTACCAAGCTGGCTTTCCCAAGACATGTCTAGGAAACTAGCCTCGGCCAAGCCAGCCTCGGCCAAGACAATCAGTATATTAAAATGGTCAAAAGTGAAGCCACTGAAGCCATCTGATGACCAAGGGTCATGACCAGCCTTGCCACTTCCTAGCTTATACACATGAGCAAGCTACACAGCCCCTATCTTCCTCAGTTCCTCACCTTTGAAATAGGCCTCAGAAGGTCTAGATGGATCAACAGATAAAGACCCTAGCCTGTGGTGGTGATGTTGGTCATAGTGCTTGTTACTTCCAGTAGTATCCCAGTGTTCCCAAGCTCTCCCATCTCTGACATGTCAGAAGTTAGGCATCATCTAAAGTGTCAACTACTCTGGGATGCCTTTAAGCCAGGAGTAGCCTCTGCAGATGGGAGAAGGCTGGGTGGCCTTTAACCAATGGTCTTCCAGTAGCCTTTGCTGGGCCCATTGGCCTAACGGGAAATGAGAAGCCACCCCTGGTCCTTTCGTGCCCTGGTTCTGTGCCCGTTCTGGAAGAAAGCCTATTCATACCTCACTTCTACAAGACAGGCACCCATTTGTAACATCCTGACAGTCCCCCAAGCAATTGGCTCATATACGTATAATCATAGTGATCACAGTGACAAATGGCTGTAGAAGGAGTGACAGTGGCCCGGTTGGGGTCTGTCTTCAAAGCCAAAGTTCAACCTCCCATGTGCTGCAGGGAAACCCGCCAACTCTAGACCTTCTCGCCAAGCTGGCCTCCTTTTGTGAGCTGCCCCATTATGAGATGCCAAATTGCCATGGCAGCCCCTGGCCCTGGGCCTCGCGGCATATCAGGCAGCCCAGGCTTGGCTGGAAGCCTCCCTCGGCCCACAAATGCCAGGGGCACCTGCATCTGTCCTCACTGGTGACAGACCCCAGAGACTCAAAGCTGTTCTGCGCTTTCTGAATCTAGTCCAGCTCAGAGCTGGACCCCCGAGGTCAATTCAAGTCAGAGGACCCGAGTGAGCTGTGGAGACTGGCAGACTCTCAGGGCCCAGAACCATCAGCACCCATTGAAAATGCAGTATAAATCATAGCTGCACTTAGCAGTCAGGTTTTTAATGGTGACAAAAGAAACATGAAACTGATTTTGTTGTAGCTTATGTAACCCAGTATAGCCAAAGTTTAAAAAAAAAATAAAATTTGCTGAGGAGTTATTTTCCTTTTTTTAAATGAAATTATCAAAATCTTATAACTATTTCATAACTTCAGATATCTCAGTTGAGACTGGCTATATCTTGTATGGTTAGTAAACACATGCTGATGGCCACTGGACAGCATGTCCCTAGACAGCATCGTAGGACTGTGGGTCTGATCACCTGTCTTCAAGAAGGACATCCTAGTTACCATTTCCCTTTTACCCTGGGGTTTTCGTTCATTAGAGATCTTTGTTTTCCTTTTATTTAAATTAAAAGCAATCTTATTTTATATAGCAATCCCAGTTCCCTCTCCCTCCTGTCCTCCCATGCCCCCCACCAGTCCCCCATCCCACCCCCCATCTAGTCCCCAGGGAGGGTAAGGCCTCCCATGGGGGAATCATCAAAATCTGTCACATCATTTGGGCCTAGGCCCTCCCACTGTATCTAGGATGAGAGTATCCCTCCATAGGGAAAGGGCTCCCAAAGTCTGTGCACTAGGGATAAATACTGTTCTATTGCCAAAGGCCCCATAGACTGCCCTGGTCTCCCAACTGACACCCCCATTCAGGGGGCCTGGTTCAGTCCTATGCTGGTTCTCCAGCTGTCACACTGGGGTCCATGAGCTCCCCCACACCTTGTTCAGATCAGCTGTTTCTGTGGGTTTCCCCAGCATGATCTTGACCCCTTTGCTCATTACTCCTCCCTCTCTGGAATCAGACATGACTTAGCATCATGTGAACACAGGAGTCTGGCTGATTGAACTGTTTAGTTATTCATGGCTTACAGAGTATGAAATAAACAGTTGCCATGCATGGTGACTCGTGCTAATATCCCAGCACTCGGGAGGCTGTGAGTTGGAGGCCAGCCTGGGCTGCAGAGCAGCCAGACCCTGAACTGAAATAAAGTCTAAATCCCTCATTTATCCAGCTACCTCCTGGGTTCAACATCAGCTCCATGGGACAGTAAATAGCACAGATTGTAGGAACTGCCTTTGCATGCTGAGAGGTGCAACTTATGCAACTATTTTCCAAACACCATTATACCACTATACTTTAAACCAGGAAATCATTTCAGGCCCCTTTAACTTCAACACCCTTTGATAATATTTTACCAAGTCCAGCACAGACATATTTGAAAACCACAAAATCCTCTTTTAAAAATACAAACCAGCATTCACAAGCCACTTAATCACCGAGTGGGTTTGACAAGTCTGTTAGCTTTCTGAGCCTTGTTTTCTAATCTATAAAAGGGGAATAGCCATGTCTCTCCATCATGTGGCAGGAGACGATGCATGTGACGTAGTTCAGCAAGTGGATTTTCACTCTCTGAAGAGAGTGCTTATTGCTCTCTTTGATCCAAACAGGTTCTGAAGAAAAGGTGAGGTGTAGCAATTTGTTAGCAGAGGGATAACTGAGTCTAGTTACTAATGCTTGCCACTGTGGATATCTGCTCACCACTAGCAAGCAGAGGTCAGGCAACCCTCCTCCATCCAGACCATGAGAATCCAGAATCTCAGCATGGCAGCAGACAAACAAGCCTGACACGGCCTCTCTCCATCCATTACCCAGAAGCTTTTCTATTTAAAAGTTTAAATCTTGAACCATCAAAGGGTATATGCTAAACAAAACATAAGACATTGATGGGTTGTGATGAGTACACAACAGAGGATGCATATCCTTAAGATATAAAGAACTTTCATTAATCAATAAAAAAAGACCCTGTAGCCTGTGTGAGGGTAAGAATCTTGTCCTTTCTCCAGAGTACCCCTAGCACTTCCCATAGTCTCCAAAAGAATGAATGGATGGGCCAGCCAGTCAGAATAATCAGGAAGCTTATTAAAAAGAGAAACACAGGTGTCTAATTCCCATGTGAATAAAATGAAAATAGAAAGACTATTGAAATATCGCTTTCCGTCATCAAATAGGCACTTTGGGAAACAATGGCAGTAAGTGCTGTTGTTGAGAATTCAGGGACATGGACTCAACTCTTTTGCTGCCAACCGGGTAGGATGCATTGTGCTGCCCCACAAGCAGTCTGGCAGTGTGTCCAGAGCTTTACTTCTGAAGCGAAAAGAACTACTTTGACCCAAAAATTCAACTCATAGGAATTTGTCCTGCAGAAATAGTCAAAGGTTTTTGCAGAGATGTACCTGACCTACTATATTTTAAAATGTTGTATTGTGAATGTTATGCCTGTACCACTCACATGCCTGGTGCTCACGGAGAACATAAAAAGAGGTCGGACATCCTGGGACAGGAATTGCAGACATTTGTGAGGCACCTTGTGGGTTCTGGGGATTTAGCCTGAGTCCTCTGTAAGAGCAACAAGTGCTCTTAACTGAGCCATCTCTCCAGGCCCCCATACTCTACTGTTGAATAAAGTAACTAACAATAGGCTAGCAGGCTGGCATGATACTATCTGTAAATTTTCTTACTAGTTAATTCTTATTGAGAATAGCAACCATCAGGGGATAAATCAGTAGAAATTAACTTACTGAACATCAATATGCTATCCCTAAACTAACCATTGTAGCCATCCAAAAGTATACGGACTCCCTTGGTGTTACTTTTAAAAGATTCATTTATTTCTCTATTTTATGTGTGTGTACCTCTGAATATATGTATGTGCACCATGTACATGTAGGTACCAGCAGAGGCAGGAGAGGGCATCAGATCCATTGTAACTGGAATTTCAGACACTTCTAACTGCCCACGATGTGGGTTCTGGGAGCCAAACCTACATCCTCTACAAGAGCATTAAATGCTCATAATCCTGAGCCTTCTCTCCAGCTCCCTCTTGTGTTTTTTAACCATTAAATCCAACTCGCTGCACTGTCTATTTTTCACCACGAGGGTAAGTAGATGTACCTTCAGACAGTCAGCAACATCTCCAAGTAAATCCAGAAGAGGAATCCTGAAACAAAATTTGGGTGGTGTCCCTCTGTGTTTACATGCCTGCCTGCTTGACTCATCCTCTCCCAACAGGAGCTCTTCCAGTGACTGCGATACATAACTAATGTGTTTGTTTCCACACAGATAATCGCTTACCAGCCATATGGAAAATCCGTGGACTGGTGGGCATACGGTGTGCTTCTGTATGAGATGCTGGCTGGGCAGGTAATGTTTCACTGCATGTCTGCATTTGTTTGTGGCTGTCGCATGTGGTGTGACTTCCTTTAGACAGAGACAGTAATGACAGGAGGAGAGTGCAGTGTGGCAGATGCCACTCCAAATCCCTGTCCCAGGGGGAGGGGGGGGGAACCTCTGGAGAGCAGACGATAATCTCCTGATCACTGATCATAAAAACTCCAAATGGAAAGTAACAGCCTAGAGTGTGGACACGGTAGCCACCATGTTGAGCGCCCTGCAAACTGATGATAGCAGTGGCCACTGTGAGTTTGCCAGGATCTCAGAACTGGGATTGAGTTGGTCAACAGAAATCATCCCAGCTGCTGACTGTGACTTATTATTAAAGGAAGAAAGCAGTAAAACTCACAGGTAGCCCCTCCCTGTCCCCTCCTGTCTCACTGTTGGCAAGGAAGTATCCTTTTCACCCAGGCCCAGCAAGGCTCAACTTCCCAAGGCAAGAAAAATTTATCTGAGAACTAAGTGCATTGCCTAGCATGGCACTTCCTTGTGCAATGGCTTAAGGAACTGAGCCACAGCAACACATCCGGACTGCTTTAATAAACAACCCCCAGATGCCAGTGGCTGCTTCACACTCTCCATATGGTCCTCTGTACCCTGGCAGAGGGGGTGGATGAGGGCAGTGAGTTCCATCCAGTCATTCAAGAATCTGAGGACAGCTTTCTCCCCTCCTTTCTCTCTGACGATCTCAGAGCCCTCCACTAACACATCTCATTTCAGCCAGTGATGAAGAGAGAGTTGGGGCATGGCACAGGGAATATTCTAGAACCAGGCCTAAGTGGCAGCAGTAGGTTTGGTGAACGAACCCTTGAGGGATCTCTGGCTTTATTCTTGTCTTAGTCACTGTTCTATTGATGTGGTAAGAGATCATGGCCAAAGCAACTTATACAAGAAAGAGGTCAATTTGGGGATCACAGTTCCAGAGGATCAGAGTCCATGATCATCATGATGGGGAGCCTGGTGGCAGGCAGGCAGGTATGGTGCTGGGGCAGTAGTTAAGAGCTCACACCATTACCTACAAGTAAAAGGCAGAGAGAGCTAACGAGGAATAGAAAAGCCCACCCCCAGATTCACACTTGCTCCTACAAGGCCACACAGCTCCCAATCCTTCCACCAACCAGAAACCAAATATTCAAACATAGGAGCGTATGGGGCCTTCTCTTTTGGCTCACACAACAATTCTGCTGCTGGCTGGTTTTTTTGTTTGTTTGTTTGTTTTCCTAGAACTCTGAGCTAGTGCTAGGGACCTTGACCTTAGAGCCAAGAACCTTAATAATGAAGAATGCACAGAAGCACCCATGCTGAGTGCAGACATACATATTTCTGGGGAGAAAATGCCCACCATCCTGAAATGATACATTTATCCATCGCCATCATTTATTTGCACACTGAAGTCTCCCTATGTACAGCGAGGATAAAGTAGACAGAAACCCTTACCTTCAGGCAGCTCACAGCTTAGCGAAGGAAAAAAGATAAGGAAAATATATGTTAGTGATGCACTAAGAGGAAAGAAACTATAGGGAAGCCACCAGTGAGGCTGGAGTGTAGCAAAGCGGCGAGAGATCTTCTGGCCATGCGGACACAGTTGTCATCTCAAGGCTTTTACTCTAGGATAAGAAACCTGTCCTTTATGTCTGTCATTATTTCATGTCTAGGAGACACTGGAAACAAATGCAAACACCTGCCTGCATTTGATCAGTGTTCCTCAGTCAGTTAAGATCTGAGTGACATAGAGTGGTTTGTTTGTTTATTCCGCCCCCCCCCCATTTGAGCATTCCTCCTGGGTAGACTGTCTCAGTGCATAAACACGGAAAAGCAGGTTATACAGGCTCAACTGTCCCATGGCACAGAGATGGGGAAGCATGGGTGACCTGTGCTTGAAGTCAGTCTCCCCTCTTGAAAATTTTGACAACAAAATTTGGCTGTGTATTACCAGCTGCCTGCGAGCCTTACTGATCACATGGGCAAAGCGAAGTCTAGGCCCCTCCTTGCTCCTGAATGTTGAGATCTCAAGTCCAGAAAACAAACCCTGCCTTCATTACAAGCAGTCACTCTGCATATGGCAGCTAGGACACTCCATTTCCCAAGAGCGTCTGTGCCTTGACTCCTGGCTGGCTGACAGGAGACTAGGGTTCCGCAGCCAAGTCCTTGCTTTCTCCTCTCCTCCCTTCCATCCTTCCCCCCACTTTTCCTCCTTCCCCCCACGTTTCCTCCTTCCCACCAACCTGCCTGCCTCCCTCCCCAGGACTTCCTAGGCTGCACTGTCTAGTGAGGAGCCCAGGAAGGAAGTCTCCCTTGGGCCTTGTGGTGACAGAAACAGCTTAAGGAAGGTATTAGTCACAGCCATCATAGACACAGATGCTGGAGACTGCAGATCACATCGTATCTAGTTGGGAAGCAGAGAGAGTCGAAGGCCTGTGCTTAGCTGGCTTTCCGTTTCTGTTCAGTCCTGGGCCTTAGCCCATGGGATGTTAACACCCACATTTAGGGCAGGTCTTCTCGTACCAGTTTTCTAATGCTAGAAACCTGCACAGGAGTGCCCAAGCATTTGTTTCCATGGTGATTCTGAATCTCATCAAGTTGATAGGATGGACCATCACAAGTCTTGTGTGCAGACCCTGAGATGGTATCCAGGCCTTCTAAGGACTGCCCCTGTACCCACACCCGAAGCTTCTGTACACCTTCTGGCCGATTCCCCAGACTACTTCTCAGAGCCACTTAGCCATGCATCCCTCTAAGTCTCTATTTTGGATAAAAAAGGGGGATAGTTCTCAAAAATGACACCTGCAAGGTTTCCAACATGCTGGGCACAGGCCACAACTTTTGTTCCACATTATCTTCGCCTGGCTGCCTACCAAATAGTGAGCACAGTTCCAATCAGAGCCTTGTAAAGGGAAGTGAATTGCTGGTGTATCTGTGACCCAGCCATGGGTGTCACTCCAACCCACAGCCATAGGGACTCAGCAATTGGAGTAAATAGATACAGGCACTGAGAAGGAAGATTTATGATGAGCTTGTCTGAGAGGTTAGGCACTAAATCTGTCTTCCTTAACTGTAAAAGGCTAAAGATGAGCTGGGAAAGGTGGCTGGTGGCAATTGTATGTGCCTTTGGCTTATCAGTTGTCAGCAGCCAAGTGGGCCCATTAAGTCTGAATAGCCTGAGTCTACATCCAGTTTCTGAATGGCTTGACAAACATAATTGCTTGGGGAGGGGCATTAATAGTGCTCATGTGGCCCTCTGATGAGCATATTTCGTCTCCAAGTGTTCACAGTATTTGTCATAAGGGAACTAGCTCTCTCATCAATGTGTTCTTTTCTTTCCAGAGCTGTTTATTAGCATCGGGTGCCTCGTCCCAGTAACTGGAGCTTCAACCCAAATGGTGTGTGTGTGTTTGTGTGTGTGTGTGTGTGTGTGTGTGTGTGTGTGTGTGTGTGGTTATGGGTGTGTGTGCATGCATCTGTCTGTCCCCAAATGGTGTGTGTGTGTATCCCCAAATGGGGTGTGTGTGTGTGTGTGTGTGTGTGTGTGTGTGTGTGTGGGTGGGTGGTTGTGGGTGCGTGTGCATGCATCTGTTTGTCCCCAAATGGTGTGTGTGTGTATCCCCAAATGGGGTGTGTATGTGTGTGTGTGTGTGTGTGTCCAGGTCCACAGCAATCTGCAAATCAACATGGCAGGGCTCTTACCCACTGCCTGTTAGAAACTGATTCAAGAATCATTTTGTACTGTGGGAACCATCACCTCATTTGTCTTATTAAAGCTCAGAGCTCTTAGAGTGGGATATGGGGTACAACACGTTCAGAAATTTTTCTTTACAAAAGCTTGTTAATGGGGATCTGAGCTCAGAACACTGCGTCCAGATTTGTAGACATTTAAAAATAGCCATAGGAATGGGGGCAGTAGGGGAGAGAAGCAATCTGAAATGGCCATGTACCAAGTACCTAGGCAGCAGATTGCCCCACATTGTAGTAGCGAGTGTTATTAGAAAGGAAGATGGATGTAATTATAACCTGTCACCGCTGACCTGCCTTCTGCACCAAGGCTTGAGAGTAGGCAATTATCTGGGAAGAGGCCCCAGAGTGAGCTAAAGTGTCCTAGCAAGAACATAAACACGCTCACGTCTTTGGTGTATAATCCCACGCCTGGTATGTTGTTCCTCAGGAGTAATTCAGAGGAGAAAAGAGCTGGTGTGCACAGAGACCCTCTGCCTGGCAGTCTACCATTCTAGTTATTAGAATACAATGTTGGAAGCAACTCTGAATGCACCCAAGGACCTATGAATCCATCTGAAGAAGTCTTGGTGGCATTCTGGCCCTAAATGGGAACGCTGCTGGCTACCAAGAAAAAGGTGTCTGCAGCGGTCAGAAAAACAGAGAATTCAGATTAAGCGTCTTATTTGAAAATACTGTAAGAAACACCAAGGATCCATGAAAAGAAAGTAAGAGGATATTTGTGTATAGGTATGCTAGGGAAAGTATACCAGTGAAATAGCTACAGTATGGCTGCTTCAAAACTTAACAATGACAATACCAACTGACATGCCACAGGGCATGGAGGAAGCCACGTGGGACACCACCCCTAGAAGTAGTTACAGGTGACTAAATGCTGCTGAGAGGGGGAAAATTAGCATCCCCTAGAGATGAGCACCCTAAATAGTCATCTAATCCCAAGTGGTCAGCCATAAAAAAAAATATTCACACAAGCAACAACTAAATGGGCTCAATGGTTTGAATTTATATGTTTATTCACATACATATATACATATGTTCTCCTGGCATTATCTTGAAATCTGCAATAGAAGAGTATGTTGTATGCACACATGGGTACATATGTGTGTATGCCTGCCTGTATGAATATGTGAGTGTAGAATATGCACGTATGTATGTGAATGTATGGAGGCCAGAAGCTCCCACAGGTGTCTTTGTTGCTTTCCATTTTATCTTTTGGGACCAGGTACCCCATGAACCCTGGAGCTCACCGATTATGCTAGCAAGCCTATCCAGGGATTTTCCTCTGCCTCCTAGTTCTGAAATCACAGGCATGCACTGCCATGTTCTGCTTCTTTAAAAATATATTCTGGGGTCGACATTCAAATCCTCATTTTCGCATGGCAGGTCCTTTACTCACTGAGCCATCTCCCTAGCCCCATAATAGTTTTGAATAAGGAGTCAAAGACCTACCAATAACGTGTCTGGGCTCAAACTAGAAGGCTATACTGGAGGTGACCAGCTAATGATTTGGAAGCAGAGCCTAACCCTTCCCACCTCTAAGACAGCATCTGTCTTGCAGAGAGCATGCCTACCTCAGACTCAGACTCTACTGAGCCTCAGGCAGGGTGTAGCTCACAGCCCAGTTCAGAATGTAGCATGATTGTCTTAATTGTGAAAACTCCTTGGCCAAAATCAGACCCTCTTCTGGGTCTGTCATCAGGGAAGGTGAGATGCTGTGTGGGGGACAAGTAAGAGGTACTGAGGGGATGCCTTTATAGGGCCAAGAAGATGGTGTCTCACTCGGACAGCAGGTCAGGCACTGGCCGTCTGCAGCTCGCTCCCCCATTGACCTGCCTTGTGGGTCCCTCTGATGTTATGTTCCATCTACACACACCATGGCAGGCTCTGACTAATGCAGCCAGACTCATCTGAGTTCTTCTCGCCCACCTGTACACAGCCACCAACCACATGCTTTTCAAAGCCAGGCGTTCGCAACAGTAAAAGAGGCTCTTTGTTTATATTTAAAGAGGAAGAGAGAGAAAATTGAAGTGGGCCCCACCACCCAAACCTCCATTCCCCCATGGCCAGCCCTGAGGGAGGGCTCCTTATAGACTTGGAGTCTTTCCCTCAGAGCATGCAGCTCTCCTGCCCAGCTCCCCATCAAAGCGCTCTACAGGGGGTAACCCTGCCATCTTTATGTTAAATTCAAGGTTAGTTGTATCAAAGAGGATAGTCAGGATTTTCCCATAAGTCCAGTCCTTCTGGGTATATCCCATTAGAGTGAGAATGATAGATTAGAGTCCTCAGGGTTAGAGATGTAATAGAGGAAATGCTTGAAGGGCATCTTGGGCACAGGCAGGTTCTTGGCATCTCTTACACCCCATCGCCATGCCTTCCTTGAGCTCTCTCAGGGTACCACCTGCTGGGCTCTGGGCCAGCCAGAAACCCCATCACAGGAACTGCTGTGTCTAACAGAGGAGCCATTTGAGTATAGGCACCCTGCTGGGAAGTACAGCTAGAATACTGGCCCAAAGTCATGTGGCCTCAAAGCCAGGACGTTCCAGGGTACCACCAATCCTCCACATCTCAGAATGGCGATTGTAAGCCCAGAAGCTAGCGCCTGTCATTGCCACCAAGCAGGATACGGGTCTTGTCAGGTCAGAAGGGCCCCAGTTCCTCTCTGCCCCTGTTCTGAAGTTCCCTCCACCCCAAGTAAAGGCAGGGAGCATTCCTTGTAACCCCTCACATAAACCCTCTACACATAAGACCCTCTGTAGCCTGACTTGTTCATAATTAGATTTTTAGCACATAATTACACGATTAATGGATTAATTATAACTTATTTGCAAATCACAAACCACTAAACGCATTACTCTAAAACATTTTTCCCTAAAGATTATTTGGGGCTGCTCAGGGCAAGATAATGAAAGGGACAGTTAAAAAAATGGGAAACACACAAGCAGCAGCCTAATTAAAGATAATCAAATCAACCTCCGCCTTCATAGAGCTATCCTCACCGCCTGCGGTGTGTGGGAAAAGGTGGTCCAGTTCTCACAGATCTTCATGCACAGGGATAATGTGTTACCCTTTCTGTTTTCTCGTCTTTGGAACAGCCCCCGTTTGATGGTGAAGATGAGGATGAGCTGTTTCAGTCTATAATGGAACACAACGTGTCCTACCCCAAATCCTTGTCCAAGGAAGCTGTCTCCATCTGCAAAGGAGTGAGTACATCTCTGGGTTTCCTCCCTGGCAGTCCACCAAGACGCTGGCAGAGGAAATCCCCCCCACACCCCATACCTGATGTTTTTGAGACAGGGTCTTGCTATTTAGCTCAGGCAGCTACCCATGTAGCCCAGGCTGGCCTTGAACTTGCAATCCTCTTGCTTAAACCTCCCAAGTGCTGAGGTTACGGGTATGCACCAGCATGCCTGGCTTCCTTTTCCAGCCTCCTAAGAGAGACACCAGAACTATCACCAGTGAATGCTGCTGCCACATTCGGTGACATGCAAGGAGACAACAGACTCCAATTCTAGTACCATCCAAGAACCATGTCTCATTTTTCTTATTCTACTGCACTTCAATTCCTAGTCCATTTCTTAACATTTCAAGGGGTTGGGGACAGCTCGGTCAGTAAAGTGATGCCATGGGTCCATGAAGACCTGAGTTCAGTCCTCGGAAACCATGTGAAACACCGGCTGTGGTGGCAGACACTGTTGAAGCAAAGGCAGGTGGGTGGACCCCTGAACCCACTGGGTAGCCAGCCTAACTCCAGTCCATATGTTCCAAGGAAGAACGATACCTGAGGTCCGCCTCTACACACATGCACACACTCATACACCCTCATTCTTCCACACGCGTTCACATACATGCATCTCAGGATCTTGGGAAGTGCTAGTTCTCACATCCAGCCTCCTAATTCCCACATCTGTGACATAGTTTGTTCTTTCTCTCTTCAGATAGACAGATTTAAAAATGGGTGTAGCTCATCCACAGACTGATCAATGTCTTTTCATGAAATGGATGTGCACGTAACTGTACCCTGCTCAAGAGAGACAGAACCCCAAATGCCCTTCCTTTCTCCTCTTACAGAGACTATCACCCACCACCCCAAGATAATCATCATTAGCCACACAGATGGGTCTTGCCTTTCTCAGCCTTTGCGCAGTGGGGACTCTTAGGCGGTGCCCCTGACCTGGCTCCTCAGCACAGCATGGCTGTAGTAAATGTAGTCAAACAGCCATGCGTTGCTGTGTGGTTTTCACTGTGTAGAGATCACACTGTCCCTCTCTGAATTCCACTCAAGGCAATGTTTCTCCCTTGGCTGGAGGCTATTAGAAGTAGAATTGTTTTGAACCTTCTGGGTCCTGAGCCAACTAACCTCTTCTTTCAGGGAATTGCTACACATGTAACTGATAACAGAGAGTTTTTTTAGTTTGTAAGTTTGGTTTGGCTTTTCCAGACAGGGTTTCTCTGTGTAGCTTTGGAGCCTGTTCTGGAATTTGCTTTGTAGACCAGAGAGATGCACCTGCCTCTGCCTCCCAAATGCTGGGATTAAAGGCATGAAGCACCCACCACCCAGCTGACAAATTTGTTTTTTAGTCTTCAAGTTTTGAATCACAAAATTCTTGTCTTCAGTTTATCAAAAGGGAGTGTACCACACCCAGTGTTTTCTATTTAGTGTGTTTGAAGGTCAAGGCCCCGGTACCAGGGGTGCCCGTGGCAGCTAAAGGGGGTCTCTTGATGTAGAAGAGCCCACGGTTGGCTCCTCACTCTGAGTCCAGCATCAGATACCACTTGCTGCAATGTGTGTATTACCATGTACCTGGTAATATTTTGATCTGGGCAATGAGGAAGAATATGATGCTTGTTGCAGCATCCCCCATGGTGCTGGCCTACAGTATTTTCATCACACCTGATTTTTAGTGATCTCATGCTTTTTTATTAGATGTGCATATAAATTATATGAACTTCTTATCCTCCTCCCCCCACAACCTTCCTTCCTTCCCCTTTGGCAGCGCTAAGGATTGGACCTAGCTTTTACACCCTGTAAAGGAAGCTCCATACCACTGAGCTTCCCAGTCTCCATACAGAATGTCAGGTTCAAAGCACACGATACATGCAGATGCCTGTTTGAATTCTTATTCCATTTGGCCACTGTTTCCAACTGCTTCCTTACTGTGAAACATCACTCTACAAAGGCACTTTGTCACAGCACACATGTGTTTCTTGGTGAACAGTGACATCTATGCCCAGAGGCAGAGCTGGCCAGGGAAGGTGCTGTCTCTGGGAGAATGCTGTCATCAGACTGTCTTTTTGCCTCATTCTCTCCAGCTCATGACCAAACACCCCGCCAAGCGGCTGGGCTGCGGGCCTGAAGGAGAACGGGACATCAGAGAGCATGCCTTCTTCAGGAGGATCGACTGGGAAAAACTGGAGAACAGGGAGATCCAGCCACCATTCAAGCCCAAAGTGGTGAGTCCTAGAAAAGCAGGCCAGTGTCCTGAGCTGTGTCCCTGGTCCCGGGTGTGGCCCTCCCTCCCTTTCTCTGGGAGGTAGGAGGCTAGTGACCCTGGCCTTGGCAGGGTAAAGAAAAACGGGCAAGTCACCAGCCATGGTGCAGAGTCAGAGGATCCGACGGCCAGGATGCTGCTGCCTTTACAGAGACAGGACAGATGCACAGGCTCTTAACCCTCCTTGCCCCCTAAAGGATGGCCACAGAACGCCCGGGCTGTTAGCCACCAGGTACTCCCCTGGAATCTGGGGATATTGTACCCTGCAGAACTTTCTTTGCCCTGGTCTTTGACATGACTTTGGTCTTGAATCTGTCACTAGCTTTCCCCTAGATCTGCTTGCTCCGCCAGACTCCCTGAAGCACACCTGAATCTCCACAGGCCGGGCTGGGACACAGTTCCCACAGTGGGTTGTGATCCACTGTGAAGAGTGGGTGGCCACCACCAGTCCCACCTTCAAAATTCCCTCTAATCCATCATACAGCTTCCCCTGTTCCGGACTCTATTCAAACATTAATTCACATAGTCTTCCCAACACCCCTGTGAGGCAGACACAATTGTCCCCACTTTGCATTTGAGCAAACCAAAGCAGAGAGGCAGAATAACTCAAAAGAAGACACAGCTTGCAGATTCAGTAAGAACAACATCAGTGGTCCTTTCTCACTACAATGTCTCAGAATGTTTGGTGACAGCCCACGGCTTCTTGCGTAGTAAGTGGCAGCCACTATGTCCCTTCTTATGGTGTCTGTCGCTAGAACTAAACTAAGAGTGTCTTACACTGCATCTGCTTCTCCACAGTGCCCAGGATATCTCTACCCACCTCTTCCAAGTTTTAGCCCCCCCCCCCACCATGAGCCTGTGCCCCTGCTCTTCAGAGACTATAAGGCAAGCTGCCATAGTCCACAGTCAGTGTCAGAACTCCACCCTGCCCGATCGATGGGCCCCAATCTGTCTCTGACCAGCGTGCCTGAGCAGGTCAGGGGGACCCCTGTGGTGACAGAGTTGCTGAGTAGGAAGCTGCAAATCCTTCCTCAGATGTGTCCATGTGCCCTCTGTGCCAAAAATAGCCCTGGCTGTGGAGAGTCCAGTGGATTTTATTCTCCTCAGACATTTTTAGCACAGACTGAAGACAAACTAAAATTAATCAGGTCAGTTGACTTCCCCCATGAATCATTGTTTCAAACAGTCAACTAGATAGTCTGCTCCCATTCACCACCACCACCACCACCCCCACACACACACACACACACACACATGGCCCATCGTCTCCTCTGCCAGCCCTGGATTTGGGTACTCTTAGGAGGCCCTCTTCTTCAGTCCACAAGACCGGGATGTAAGTCCTGAGAGATGTGTGTTTGGGGGAGGAGGGATTGATACAGATGCCTCAGCAGGACAGTGTTTGGGAATCTCATTGTTCACAGCTGCCCTTGTCCTCATCTAGGTAGTTGGCCTTAAACTCACAAGTAGAGAAAACCAGGGTGACTTACCTCAGAAACTAAGAATGTGAACTGTTCCCCTTGACTCATGGAAGGATTTGGGATTTGGGAGCATAGTGATTTCTATGGTAACAGCTGATGTGTGAGCAGTGGTTTTTTTTTTTTTTTTTTTTTTTTTTTTTTTATTCCCAACGGAGTGCAGTTTGTTTGTTTGTACTAAGTGCTAGTTTTAAAAAAAGGAATACATTGCATTTGGCTGTGAAGAAACAACCCCCAGAATCACAGACAGAAACAGAAATGGAAGACCAAGTTCCTCAAACAATAGCTCTGTGAAGAAGCCAGAGGCGGGAACATGGCCATGCCTGCTTACAGTGGAGTCTCTGGTCCTCAGTCCTGTGCTCAAGGAGCAGGAAGCCAGAAAGAACGTAGAGACAGAAGCCAAGCCCTAGAGAAGACGTAGTTAAGCGGGGAGGAGTGGGGCTGGATGCTTTGGTTTTCACAAAGAGAGACGTGGGGGGGAATCCTGGTCACAGTGTCACCCTTGAGCTCAGTCCCCATCCTAACTCCCATGCCACAGACCCAGGAAAGTTGCCTCCTAATCTCAGGTAAGAAGTCCCTAGGGTATCACTCTGTCTGCATGGCAAGCTGCTGGTGTGGAAACCCCCCACCAAGAACAGGTCATCAGCTCAAAGATCATTTAGGGCAGAGGAAAGCAATTTAGTCAAAGTCACAATATGGTTAGCGTTGGTAGCAGGGAGAAAGGACGGCGGACAGAAGCTTCTCTGGGATGTGGCTTCCCAATTTCCCCATGAAACATGCTTCCCTGGGCCACGGCTAAATGCAAACTCAGAGGAGTGTGCAGAAAAAAAGGAGCTGGGGATCCCCAACAGATAGCCGGTAAAGGGGTGATAAACACCCAGGCAGCATGACTGCCACAGCCTCTGGCGTCCTTCCATGCCCCTCCATACCCCCCTCAGTGAGCCTGGCTCTGAGGGCACTGCCACCCACACCTCTGAGCAGCCCTCAGAGGCCTGGCCAACAGACAACCTTGTCCATCTTGGTGGGGTCTTCCTGGTGGGTTTCTAGCCAGCACTGATGATTGGATTTCCCTGAGAGCTGCAGGATTAAGGGCCATTAGCTCTTCTCCCCTGTACTGCTCCAGCTTCCATGGAGTTAAGCCCTTGCTTATTGTCACATACCAGCTGTGGGACTTCAAGTGTTCACAATATTGGCTGGTTGCTGCAGAGCATCTTGTCTGTCAGGAGTCTATTGGAGTGTTCTGTTGTGGCTTTGCTTTGAACTACTTTACTCGTAAACCTCCAAAGAAAATGATTCTAGAATTACTGACACCACCACCCTGGCACCGCCACACACACACACACACACACACACACACACACACACACACACTAGGAGGAGAGAGACGTTACATAGCAGGGCAGACATGGAATTTACCTAGAAGAACCAAGGTTCCCTTGGTGTACAGTCTGTTTATGCCTTTTTATCACGTGAGTAACACCTTAAGTTAACTTTTAGACCAAAGTGTCATGCCAAATGTGGTGTCACAGCAAAAGACCCTCTATGGTATAGAATCCATTGGGAAGTTCTATTTAGAACCTTCCATCTCCCGCTGACATTAAAATCAAGACCCACAGCGCTTCAGTGGCCTGCCTCCTGTAAGAGGCCGCACATATAAGAGAGCAATGAGACACAGTGGTCGGTATCAAATATGGGGACCGAAGTCTCAGCAGTGAGGAAAGAATTTGTCCTACAGTGACCAACAGTGAGAAGGCCCAGAGCCATGTGTGTCCCTCAGCGGCTACCATGTACCACTGTGAAGCCAAGATTGTCCCCAGGCGGAGTAAAGGCTTTCCTGTGCTGATTTGTTTTAAAGAAAAGGTAAAGCCAAACAGACGAGCTATGCCAACCCAGAGGCAAAGCCACTAAACCACTGTCTCCTCGACCTTATGAGAAGAAATGCCATCTAGCCCAGTGAACAGCTCCAGGAAACACATACAGTAAGCTTCAGTCATGATGTGCCCAATGCTCCCCACAGCCAACTCAAGTCCTTAAAAGAAAAGTCTGTCTATATTCGGACAACTCCATGAAAGAGATGCTGTAAAAACATGTAAGGACATGTCACCTCTGAAAAGGCCCATCTTCAGTTACAGAAGAAATGAATGTTCCTGCCCTCCTGTGGCTTCAAGCAGGCTAGAAGGTACTGCACAAGGAGCAATACAGCTAGCCTGCTTGGCCACCTGACTCTCACCAAGGGAAGGACAGTCCCCTCTTTCTGCTTGGACTAAAAAGTGGAAGGTTCTAGATGCTAATGAGCTACTCCAACTGCAGGGCAGTCTCCACACCATCTCTGAAGATACAGAGAAGGAATAGAGTGAATTGATTTTTTTCCCCCTCTTTTGAGTTGTATTCATTGGCACAAGACAGCCATAAATAGCCACTGTCCTGGAAGGGACATTAGAGGATATTAGCCTGTAAAGTCAACACCAAGAACTAAACAAGTCTGAATGCACAGGCAGGCAGGGCATTTTTCAGATGGGCCAGTCTCTCAAGAGACAGCCTTCCTTGGGAAATTATTGTGGTTACTTTATCAAAAGGAGGTAGGAAAGACTAGAATAACTTTCCTTGGAGCAAAAGCCAAAGACAGTAAGAACAGCAAGCACAGGCATAGCTATGATTCCTTCCCTTCCCCCACTGCCATGAAGGGAGCCAGCAATGGGGATGCTTACAAGATGAAGGTCCCCTTGCATGATGTCATCAGCATGTTTGGAGAGTACGGCGACGGTTTGGAGTTGTGGTTATTTTATTTATTTATTTATTTTGATTGTTTTGAAAGAATTTCTCAGACTTGTCAAAGAGTTGGGAAGCTGAGTGTGGTGGCAGCCCTTCAGTAACACCAGTACTCAAGAGGTACAGGTAGTGGATCATGAGCTGGAGACGCCCCAAATATATAGTGAGATCGTGTTAGGTTAGGGGTGACTGTGAGGTAGAGATTTGCCTGGCAAGTGGATTCAATCCCAGCACCGCAAGGGATGAAAGGGAGAGGGGACAATAAAAGAATGTCTACCTTCCCATTGTCTAGATTCTCTACATGTTCACATTTTACGATGCTTGCTTTGTTCTTTTTTTCAGTTTCCTCTGTGAACCCACACACACACACACTTTTCTGAACCACCTGAGATTATGTTGTTGGTGCTATGCTTCTTGAAATATAAATAATTCTGTGCATATTTTCTAAACCTGAAGACATCTCATGGCACAGTGCTCTTTTAATAACAACCCTGCAAAGTTGCTTATATGGAGCAGCAGCTACCCAGGTGAAGGAGGAAGTCTAGTGACTGTCTAACTGAGATAATGTCTCTGGCACATCTAATCAACCCTCTTGAGTGGCAGGCAGATTCATTTTCCTGGCCTTTCCGTTGAGCCAGTAACAGGGATGCTAATTAAAACGGAGATTCTCAAGACTCAAGCTTTGCTGACAATTTAAAAACACTAACCATCCCTGGAGACAGAAGAAATCGCATCACGGTGTGTCAGGGTTTGATTTAAGCCTTTAAATTGTCAGCATCTTTCACTGGTGAATTAGACACAAGCACTTTCTCCTACTCTTTAATAATCACTTTCCAAATATTTTTCTGCTTGGAAGAAATTGAACATCTTTAATAATAATAATAAATATAAATTATAAGCCTTGGAACTTCAGTAGTTAAGGACATTGTATATACAGAAATGCTCTCGGGTTTCTTAGTTTGTCTTCTGATGAAGGACCTCTCTGTAGCCCTGGCTGCTCTGGCACTTGCTGTATAGATTAGACTGCCCTCCTTGAACCCAAAGATCTAGCTGCCTTTGCCTCCTGAGTGCTGAGATTAAAGGTGTGTGCCATCATGCTTGACTAAAGCCCTCACTGTGTGGGCTTATGTCCTATATCTGTCAGCAAACCCATCCATAAAAATCAGACTCCCTCCAAACAGCATTTGTCCTTCCCAAGACAATATTCTAAGACAATAGGTGAGCTGAGTATGTATGATGATATCCCCCCCCCCAAAAAAAACCCAAAAAGCCAAAGCTCTTCTCCATCCCTCACCCCAGGGATGTTGGCCAGAAGTAGAGGACATCTCCATCTCTTTCAGGCAATTATTGTTGTTAAAGTCCTATCCATCTGTAGCCAAATCATCAGCCAAGCAGTAAAAAAAATATAAAAGGAAAGATGGCCCCTCCCCCTCCTGGACTTTTAGTCCCACAATTCATGATCTTTTCTGTAACCTTCCAGAAAGCTATATGCATGTGTAAACCCGTACATAATGGAGACAGTGCGGCATTTTGCATCTCGAGTCTTTCACATAGCAATGTACTGCAGAGGTTCCTGGGTTCATGACACTCTTCACATGGCTGTTCCTGATTCTCAGCATCTCCAAATCCTCTCCTCTGTCCGTTCTTATTCTCCAGACTATCTGTACCAAAATGCACTGGCTTCAGTGGGCATCCAGGCTTTCGGTGAGCACACTTCCAGAACCTTGAGTGACTAAGCCAACTAACCACACCTTTTAACCTTTAACTGCTCGTGTGCCGATGCTTGCCCTCACCCTGCATCGAGACCTTCCCTAAGCATGCTGATCTTCATGGAAAGGGCAGCGCAGTAGCCAAAATGCCCCCCCCCTTCTGTACACTTGGCCTTGTCTCCCAGGAAGCATAAGGCAGATCACATCAGTTTGTGCTGCTACTGGCTATTTAACTCACATAGATAGATAGATAGATAGATAGATAGATAGATAGATAGATAGATAGATAGATAGATAGATAGATAGATAGATGATATTCTCACAGATGACAAATGCTCGCACTGGACAGCACAGTGCTACAGTCTCCTCCATAACAGACTTCAGCATAGGTAAGCCTTCTCCTGATGCCAAGGATACCCTGCCATATCTAGCAACTGTAAGAGGCCCTCCCCAGATTCCTACATTTTTTATTTCTATGCTTTTGCAGCTAACATTTATGCTTCCTTTGTTCTGAACTCTGCCTACCCTCTGGGATTTGTGTGGTTTTGCTTTCTGGCAGTTAGTATTCTGTAACTACTCATTTCCCATGCTGGCGACCATGGAGTCAGAGTCAACATTACTGAAACACCATAGAGTTTAAACCAGGACATGTGCTGCACATGCTCAGTGCTTCTCAGGGTAGAAGTCACAGGCAAGAAGTCATGCTTTGCAGCATAGCTCGTCCTCCTCCCTCTGCTCTTTCAAAGGACAAAAGGGCTTGGAAGGCTGCTTTCGCCCAGGATACTGGTACAGAACTTTGCAACCCGGCCTCCACCCTGAGCCCACATCATTCTGTGCTCTGTAACAGCTAGCTTTACCATGTCTGACTTCTCTTGTGTTCACTTCATTGATTGGTAAATGTACTAAACAGGTGGTGTCTTGGTTTGTCTTCTGTCATTGTGATAAAATGCCCCGACAAAAGCAACTTGGGAGAGAAAGAGTTCATTTTGAGCTCATTGTTTTTGACAAATCAAGGTGACAGAAACTCAAACTAGTTGGCCATACCCATGGTGAAGACAAGAAAGAGAATGGATGCATGCGTGTTTGTACTCGGCTTGCTTCTCTAACCTTTACAGAGTTAGAGGATCCCTGGCTTAGGGAATGGTGTCACCCTCAGTAGGCAGGGCTTCCTCAATGTAATCAAGACATTTCCTCACAGATTTGTCCACAGGCCAACCTGATCTGGACAACCCCTCATTGAGACTGCCTTCCAAGGTGGTTCTAGACTGGTCTAGTTGATAATTAAAACTAGTCAATTCCTTGATAAAGAGATAAAAGAGAAAGCAGATTGTGAGTAGCATTCATTCATTCTTCAAATATCAATTTGAATACAGAGCTATTGCTACATGTTTGTATCTTCTTTCTGTACAATGTTTCATCATTTAGAAAGGCCTCACTTACAAGTCCTTCAGCCCTCACCACAGCCTTGGAAGGTGGGTGGCCACTTCCCCATTTTACCTTTAAAGGGAGATGCAATGAGACTCTTAAAGCTACACCTGGGCCTCTCGATCTCTGGCCTGGTCCTTCATTCTGCTGTCCCTCCTCAAGGGTCAGCCCTGCCCACTCTTCTCGGGGGACCTCCCTGGGTTCACACACCAGCCCAGTCAGGTGTGGACTGCTTCTTGCTGACCATTTCTCTTCTGAGCTTGTCCCATGCCACCTTGCTGGCAAAGGTTTTCACCAGTGAAAGCTGCCGATGGCCTGTTTGTAAGCGGATTTAGGCACTGGGAAGGTGGACTAGAACTCAGAGGTCACATACAACCCAAACTTGCCTGTTGTTGTAGCTGCTGTGGAGGCTGCCCTTCAAATGGCCGTGGTAATAATGTTTGGGCTTCTCCCCTGATGAGTGTTAGTAGAGCATCTGCAGTAAAGCTAGCTCCTTCCCCCAGGCATTCCCTCTCACTGGGGACCCCTGTTTGTCTCTTACTCCCTACTCAGCTCAAGGTGGCACCTGAAGCTCTCTACCCATCAAGCCAATGATCTCAAGTTTGGATCACAGGCACCAGGGTGATAGATTCTTCAATGTATTATCTCCTGTCCAAGCATCCAAAGAGCTCTGGCTGTTTCAATTCTTGTCTGTATTTGCTGGTGGTGTTTAAGATCTCTGCATAACATTGTTTAAAACAAGCAGTTCTTATCTTCCCCACTTTTCACGAAAGAGATTATCTGTTTCTGGACTTGGTTTTCTGGACCTGGTTTTGCTTAGACGTATGGACTTTTCCTTTTTTTTTTTTTTTTTTTTTTTTTTCCTTTCAGAGAGAGAGAGAGAGACTTACCCTGGTATAAGACTAATTTATATTTTTCACAATATCAGAGTGGTAAAAAAAAATCCTCATGCTGTTCTCCCCCCCCCCCAGTTCCCTTTTTGGGGGTGACATTCACTCTGATATGACCACTTTCAGAATAAAACATCCTCCAACTCTTGGATCTCATGTCATCCTCGACCCCCAGTTTTTCAAAGGCTATCTTCCCTATTTCTGGCTAAGATACTCCTGCCCCTCACTGTGTTTGCTTTGGGTGTTTGGTGTGTTTTGTTTTGTCTGTCTCATGACTGATGTGTCTGAACTTGAGTGATTCAATGTTTAATCTCTGTCCTCAGCCTGCCCTTGCCTCTGGTCTCTCCACCAAAACTGAGCCAGTTTAAGGAAAGACTTCATTTGCTAAAATGTGATTTCTCTCCCTCTCTATTTGAGGCAGGGAAAATTCCAAGGAGAGTTAAGGTGAGAGAAGAGGAAGGTGTCTCTGGTGGTGAGCAGTTTTGAGACTGAATGTGGCCATTCAGTGTGGTCACAGAGCAGCGATTGGATTGACTGGGGCTCCACACTGTCCCCTTAGCTCCACAGTCTTCAGTACAGATGGCACAAGGCTTCACCAAAGGAGTTTTTCCATCCCATGTATTACAATACTTGGCTTTATAAGCCCTAGACACCATAGCCATAACTTTCCTTGGAACACTGGTGATAGAACTGGATATCTTCTTCCCTGTCTCTTTTTCAGTGTTGATGTCTGTGTGGGTCCCCTTTGCCTATTTTGAGGACTCTCAGTTTTTGTTAGTTTTTCTCCAACCTTTGGCAATAAAGCCGTGGCATTATGAAAGTTCTCACTTGAAAGTAATTTGCCAAGCATCATAAGAACAGTATTCAAATAAAGGCCCACATTCATACAAGCTTTTCAGAGACCACATCCATAAATGTAATGCTAGACATGCAGCAAAGAGAACACTTTTCCTTGACTAGCCTTGTTCTGCCTTGTAGGGACTCATAATCTCTCTTTTCTCAAACCTCCTCCTTGCTCTTTGCATGGTCAGTATCACAAAAAGCACAAGTGATAGCTTCTTGCAGGTACTCTTGCCCAGCCTCTGAAAGCATCAACAGTAAACGCACATGAACCCATCCAGGCAGTGAGTACCCACCCACCAGATTCCAAAGGGGAGTATTTCTCTAAGGCAGCCCCCATGGGGTGGCACCTCTGGCTTACATCTTTGGCCTTCTACAACGTCTGCATGTTTTGCTCCCACACACAACTGCTTCTGCCTAATTCCCTTGTTTGGCCCCTTCACATCCACCACAGGACCTCTCCTTACAGTCTAGATATACGGAGAGCAGTGTTTCACGACAGCTGCACTGTTGACATTTTGAGCCAATAAGTCTTTGGGGGGGGGGAGGGGAAGTTCCTCATTCTAGGACATTTATCGGTGTCCCTTCCTGCCGCTAGATGACAATGGCACCTCTTATCCAAGTTATGACAATTAAAAACAAAAGATGGGTTCTCTGAGGAAGACTCTTAACCTTGTTGAAACCAAGTCTTGTCAGAAAGATAGCTGTTTCCTTATCTGTTTGCATCATTGTAATATAGTGGAATGTGACACCTCAGTGGAAGCTGGTTTCCATTGTTTATCTGATTCATGGACCAAAAGCAGACTCCTGATCAGTTCCCGAGAAGAAACCTGCTTCCGGAAGAGCCCTTTTCAGTGGTTCAGGACACCCTCTGCATGTGGGGTGGTGTGATTGCAGGCTCTGCCTCTGCTGACCTTTGCTTTGAAGTGCTTTGGGTTCTTGCAAAGAAACGCATCATGGAAATACAGTTTGAAAGCTATATGGGAGCCAGAGTGATAATAATGAGTGTGATTCATTGCTTGCATGGACTCCAGAGTGACTTGAGGACCCCCTGCCGTGCAACATCACCATACAGAACTCAACCTTTACCATACATACACTCCACACATTGCCACCCCCATCACTGTAGTGGGAAATGTCCTTGAGTTCAGAGTACATAGCTGCTTATTAAGTGAAAATAATACTGGAAAGGGACACTGTTGCTTTTGAAGACCTTGCTATGAACCAAGGACATGATTTCTCCCTCAGATACTGAGAAGCATGTTTTATTTTCTGAAAAGAAATTAGGAAAATCATAATGAAATGAGATTCTTGAGAAAACCCATTTAGAAGATAGAAGAGAAAATACAGCCCATGAGGCTAACAGACCTTGGCTTAATAAATAATAAAAATAATAAATGTGTGCTGAACTCTGACCAAGTACTAGGTTCTATGTGGAACTCAACTGTAAACCTTTTAACAGAATAAGCAGGGAAATACATCCTCTCTCCCCACTCTACAAATGGGAGAATTGGGTAGATTTTAACCTCACATACTACCTAGGACTGCCCTATGCTAGATCCAAGAATGCCTCATTAGGTCAAAGCGTTTGCCGACTTGAAATAAGTTCATGTTGCGCCTACCAGCAGATGAAAGAGCAATAGTTTGCAGCAGGTTCAGAATCATCATTAGTAGCATCTGTGACACTCCCGACTCTTTCTCAGAAGCCCCAGAGACCTTGGCATACCTTAACCTTTCTAGGTATCTGGAAAAGTGAGGATGCCCCTTCCCCACCTTCCTGGAAGGAGTGTTTTGCAAGTGCATCGTAGTAACTCTAAGTTGTATGATTGACTCTGAGTAAGACTCTCATGTACTTCTGCTTAAGCAACTGTCTAGTTAGACAATCACAGGGGAGCTATGCCAGAAGCCTCCATTTGCAAAGAATGCCTTGGTAGATCCTGAAGGAGGATACTATTCAAGGCAGACAACAGGCTTTACTGTGCCTACCAGTAAAGTGCCTACCTCCTCCTGCCTTGAGACCATGCTGTGTATGAGCTCCATGTTGACCTGCCTGCCACTTGACTAGCTCTATCCAGGCATGCAGAATTTATCTCCTACCATTGTCAATGCACCTGCCCCATACTGCTTTAAGATTACTCTAAGGGCTGGAGCTTCTAAAAAAAAATCCCAGTTACATGGCAAAGATACACAGCTTCTGTCTGATTATAAATATTAATACAAAGAAGCAGATGTGGGACAAAAAGCCTCACCCTGTCAATTCAAGGGTCTTTACAGGCACAACCAACAGCGTGGCCTTTTCAACATGGAGCTATGACTGATGGCCCTGTGTGTGCACTGTTCCTGATAATAGCTCGGCTTGCTCAACAAGGTAATATTGAAGTTAAGAGGCTGCTTTCTTGCCACGTTGTAACCAACAGTGCGGTTTCCATTTGGAGTTTTGATTCTACAAATATGTAAAGATTTACAGTCAAGTAACTCTGTTGTTTGCTGTGCCTGGCTTCTGTCTCTGGTAGGCCTGCAAGTCCTCCAAGAGTCTTCCTGTCCAGCCAGGCTCAATTTCCCTGGGGCCCGCCCTTTCTCTCCAAATACTCTCAGAATACTAATCCCCTGTGTTTTATATCTTCTGACTTCTGTTTCTTTTTTCCCCTACAGTGCGGCAAAGGAGCAGAAAACTTTGACAAGTTCTTCACGCGAGGGCAGCCTGTCTTAACACCACCTGATCAGCTGGTTATTGCTAACATAGACCAGTCTGATTTTGAAGGGTTCTCGTATGTCAACCCCCAGTTTGTGCACCCGATCTTGCAAAGTGCAGTATGAAATCCACAAATGAGAGACCAAATGCCTCCCCAGCCCCCAGCCTCCCCATGCAGTGGGAAATGATCCTTAACCCTAAAATTTTAAGGCTATGGCCTTGTATTTTGTTCCACACAGAGGCCTGAAAATCCTAAGGACATTAGTTCTAAAGTGATCAACTTTTCAGGGTCTCTCTCTCTCTCTCTCTCTCTAACCAAGATATTTCAACTAAGATAATGACATACTGTACAGAGTCCAGCTTAATTATGTAGAAGCACATCTGGCTCTAAGTTGATTTTTTTTTTCCTAGAAAACAACGCAATTTGTACCCCTCCCCCTTTTTGGTACGATTTGATATATTCTCCATACCCTCCATCTTTGGATTTTTATCATCAGGATCCCTCCACCAGAGATAGTAAAGTGAACCTGCTCCAGCTTAAGGGTTGGAAACATCTCCACCCAAGATGTCTTTGGAATGAAAGAACAGGAAGCTCAAAGAGTAAGCAAAGAGAGGTTGGGGGTAGTAGAATCTTGAGGACCCCATTGCTTCTATTCTCTGCCTCAGTGGGAACAGTCCCTAGAATCTGAGAGGGCTGGATAAACCTAATCAGTGTTCCCAAATGTCATAGCACAACCATAGCACAGCAGTTTAAGAATGAAAGAAAGCTTCAGACGAAAATGCATTGAATCTATCATCTGTGTTGCCCTAGTTGATAACTATCTTGATAAAGCATTCTTTTAAAGAGGCCAAATCATCTAAGGACATTGCTAAACAAGCATGTGAAATCATTTCAGATCAAGGATAAACCAAGTGTATGCTCATTTTAATCTCTGGGAAATGATTCTTCAATCCAGGGTGCCATCAGAATCATGCCACTATTCACGAGTGTTGTCAGCCAACCCCCTACACACATGATATTTTGCTACCTTTGTGGGTACCCTTCCTAAGAAGCTGGTGTGTATGCCCCATCCCTTTTTCTACTATTTATTTAATAAGCTGCTGTGTCGTTTATGAAAGTACAATGTATAGTAATTTAATTCGAGTATTGACTATCATCAGTTCCTATTGATTGATTTTCCTCCTTTCTCTAGCCCTAACATCCACTTAGAGATGAAAAACATTTCCAGTTTCTATTGAACGACACACCTGGAGCTGTAGGATCAAGATACTTTATGCTTATAACAACTCAAAATGTTTTCTTGCTAGAAGGATTTTTAATATGTTTTGCGAGTGCATCATGCAATGGATTTTGCATGTTTATAATAAACCTTAATAACAAGTTAATCTATATTATTGATATAATTGTATCAAGTATAAAGAGTATTATGATAATTTTTATAAGACACAATTGTGATATATTTGTGAAGGCTCGTGTTTCCAGTCTGCTTTAAGATGAAGTGTTAGCTTTATTCATTGCTGCTGTGCTCTCTCACCTGCTACCCCACACACTGGCATTCTATCAGATATATTAATTTTTTTAATTAATGTAGATGTAATTTTAAAAATGGATGGCTACTTTACACATTTAACTAGGCTTTTACTATATATGTGTACATATGTATATATATATATACTTGATTCTACCTGCAAACCCCAGTTTTGTTTGTGGGAATTATTTTTGAGATGAGACTCTTGTTAACTTCTTTTTGGGTTCCTCCACCACGCCTTCTCTTGGGGACAGCTGGAAGCATTTAGTTTCCAGTATGCCTGATATGTTTATATACATGTGGCATTGTTCTAGGACCTGGGCTGAACTCTGTGTGTGTGTGTCTGTCTGTCTGTCTGTGTGTCTGTCTGATTCTTTTCAGCCTATGTCTTTTGGGGACTCTTGGGTTGGAAGGCTGGGAGGATTCCTTTCTGTATGTTCATATGGACACACCAGAAGGATGTAGTCTGTCTTCTTGCCCCTGAATGACCTAGTGTGTACTCCAGAACACACAACCTCCACAAGACAAACTTTATCCCCATGCCTGTGTAGAGCCATCCCTGTTACCAACAGATTCTTTCCAGAGGCACACACTGTCTTAAAGCTGTTGCTAGTACATTCTGGTCTTTGAAGAGCACATCTTGTGGCCAAACACCTTCCCGATGCATGGTGTTTAGAAGAGGCAGGCCTCTGCAGTGTAAAGAACTGGAGGACATGAACGTTCCCACCTTATAGAAGGCATCTCTCCTGAAAGCATCTCCCAGATAAGAACTTCTCTTTGTATTCTCCATCTGCCTGCCTGGCAGTCACATATCATGCAAACCACCAAGCGTGTTTGAGATAAGGGGTTTTCAGAAGGGCCTGTGATCCTTATCAGAAGGAGATAATGGAGTAGGGAATGGGCTGCACCAGAAAAGAGCAGTTTCTTCTGCAATCTTTCATGGATTCTGGACTTCAAAATTCAAAAAGGCTCTTGTGTATCGATCTTAGAAGTCCAGCTCATCACCTTGACAACCAACCCAATCAAAAACACTATCCTCGGTCCAACAGTAAAGGATCTGGTCTATGAGCCTTGGAAATGGTAGGGTTATTTTTTACCAGGTGGAACAGCAAAAGGGCCGACTCCCAGCGAACCTCTCAAAGTGAGGGAAGCCACAGAGAAGAAACACAAAGGTCACAGTCAACCTGTCCCAAGGTGCCATGCTGCCTGCTTGTCTTAAGCAAGAAACAGGCTTGCGTTTTCCTGTAAACAGGCAACATCCAACTCCAGGTGATTCAACTTCTTCAGAAAACACGTGCAAATCCCCTGGGTGGCTTGGGTGCTTAGAGAATGTGAGACAGTTCTCAAAAGGGAGGGGAGAAAAACAGTAACAGAGCCAGCATTTGCCTAAGGGACAGCACACTGAACAGTGAACTTAGGAGAAACCATAAGAGTTTAAGGAAGAATTCATGACGCAGCCTATTTTATACACTGCTGAGTGTTAAGTTTAGATAAAGGCTAATACTTTAAAGACCTGGGCAGCCTGAGACAGCTACTGCTCCAAAACTAACTCATGTGGATAGCCATTAACAGCTGTTAGGCAGGACCAAATAATAAAATTCTACAGCACTGTGCCGTTCTCAGGCCTTGTGTGAAATAGGGCTCCAAGGAAAGGGCTGGAGCCACCATGTTGGCGGCTGGAATCAGTAGGATGCCTTGAAGGGGTTAGTCCCTGGGGGAGCGCTTCAGGAAGCACCTGCTCTCAGTCTCAGACTCTGCCTGCACTGGTAGGTCCTGTCCATAGAACAGTCTCCACAGGACCCATCTAGCTGTGACCCAGAAAATCCACTGAAATTGCTTTGTATTATATTGCCCTGGAAGGTGGCCACCGCTCAGTGGCGGCTCTTTCCTCCAACACAGGCCAATGGGCTGCTAGCGCCACTTTTGGCATGGCATCTAAAGGTCCCCAGCACTTGGGTTGATTGGAGAGAGCTGGAGTATGCTTGCCAGGTACAGCCCTGAGAAGCTAATGGGAGGCCCACCTCCAGGCAGGAGCTAATTCAGGAGGTAAATGAGAAGCCCCAGGAACTAAAATGACTACCCTTCACCACATCCCCCTCATATCTCTGGCCTAGTTTCAGCCTTTTCTTCACTGGTCTTTTTATTAGTGATTTGAAACACTTGGGGGGCCAAGAGTTTTCTGAAAGCTTGGCCTGAGATGGTCACATGAAAGATTACCAGAGGCCAGTATTAACCCTCAAGTGTGGTCACTCACGAGCAGCTGTTCTTAGCAGAGTGTGGTACCTCGCCAAGCCCCAAAGAGACACCCATTGATGTGCCAGAGGAGGCTGCAGTCGACACCACTAGGGAAAGGCAGGGCTTGCATGCACCCAGAAAGACTTGGGAGAGGCCATGGTGCTGCATGGGCTTTCCACTGGCATCATCGTTGCAAATGGAAGTGACCTTTTGCTGGTCTTCGTGTGTGTGTGCTGTTTTGTTTTGTTTTGTTTTGTTTGGGGGGTGGTCAGGGACATAGTCTGATCCCTCTCAGACCCTCCCAACAGTACGAAGTGTTTTGCCCTGGCAGAGTCAGACCAGCCAGCAGACTGGAAGCCACTAGGTTTTGCCTCTTTCCCTCTGATAATTACGGCAGCTGAGACTAGGTGCAGAAGTTGAAAACCCAAAACAACAAAAACCAACAGTGTCCTGCTAGCTTCTGCTTAGTAGGAAACGTAGGAAGGGTTTGTGCAGGGTTTTGTTTTCTCAAAATCAGAAGAGAGCAGAAGTGAGAGCCACATGCTTTTAGTCTCCTCAGCAAAGCTGTGACACATCCTGACAGCCACTTGCTCACCTTGGTCTTATGAAATCACCCTTTTCTCATGGTCCATGTCACACTTGTTTCCTATTTGTTTACAGCCCCAGAGGGGCAGGGCTGCCTGCCCCACACCTGACGACTGAACACACCCAACAGCCCTGTGTTCAGGAGATGCAGGCTGACCTTGGGAGATACAGGACAATGGTTAGCAGTGGCTCTGCACTAACTTGACAGTGTTAGGAACCAGGTTTGAAAATTGGTTTTCCTTGAACTGCTGCTAACAAAATATGCCGGAGGGTCAACACTCCTGCCATGTCTCGTTTGGGCCAGTGCAGCAAATCTAGAGAAAGTCAGGAAACCGTGCTCAAGACATGCACAAATGCAGTGGTGTCCACTGTTGTCCTAGTGACACTACAGCCTCAAGACTCAATGGTCTGTGCCCTCGTTCATGTGGTCAGGCGTCAGTCAAACACACTGCACAGGTTAAGTGGTTAAGCAGCCTTACTGGGACCCTCCCCAGAAGCCCACAAGTTCCAAAGACTTTTTTTTTTTAACCTAAAACAAGAAATTAACTTATTAACTCTAGTAGAAGAACCTGACTATACTGGGCTATTTGTACATTTTTTATAGAGAACTTTAATGACTCAGTTCTTTTAAAAAGAGTTTTTAAAAAAATAAACCTAATAAAAAAATTTCGTAAACTTCCAATTCCATGGAGCCTTTAAGAGGACTTAACCTACATTGGACAGAGCATCTTTACCTGCAATCCCACAGTGGGGTTTTCCTGAACCAGTGAGGTCTGGAGTCCACAATGGAATGGCTACAGGATGGTACCCCCTTCTTCAGTAGACACTAAAGACAGCTGCCTAAGGTTTAGAGATCTTTGAACTGTAGGGAAGATGGCTTTCTAGCCCCCCCCTCCTGATGCAGCCCAGGAGAGCATTCTTGAGGATTTCGGGGACCCTCTCCTTGCTCTCTCAGAGTCTGTGAGCAAGGAGGGGGTGCTTCTCCAATCCTGTCTCCTGCAGCTTCTGGTTCCTCATCCTCTCACATCTGGTAAAGACTGAGAGGTGCCCTATAAGGATTTTGCCATTGGGCAAGTCAAACCTACTATCCCAAGATGTTAAGAGGCAGCATCGAGTGTGCCTAAGGCATCTGTTTCCATTGCTGTGCGTACGAGTAGACAGAACCCCACTTTTCTGAAAACTGTTATCCCCCACTTTGTAATAACCCCCTTTTCTAAAACACAACAAAAGGCTTTGCACTTTCTGATTAAACAACTGTGTCTTTTGTCTCCTGCTTCATTTTAAAACTATTCTGTAATTGTTTGTAGATTTTTGTTAATATTTTGCCTGAAAAAAATGTGACCCTCTTTGGGAGGTATAGTAGACTATTGAAAATTATACATGAAGGTGGTTACTATTTTGAGCCCAATAGTTTTTCTAAGAAGCTGGCCTCCTATCCTGACTATGAAGACTTTTCAGATTATCTTTTATAGGCAATCAGAAGCACTCACTGGAAGTTGCACTTCCTATACAATTTCTGTTTTGTTTGATGAAGGACATGCCATGTTTAAATCTCTCATTGAAAAACACCATGCAAAAATCCCAAATTGGTTTGGAGGAAGGAGGTTTTCAGCCTGAATAGGCCATTACTGATAAGCCGTAGGGGCTGTGCCATTGCTCATTTGGTTACTTAGTAGGTAAGAAGGATATGTTCATTGCTGCATAGCTTTCTTGGATTTGTGTAACCTCTAATCTTCGTTTGCATGAATCGCTTTGTTAGATGCATTCATTGTAGTTCGGAAGCAAGTGTGTATGAATAAAGATATTGATCACTGCTGAGTGAGCCGCTGTCATTTGCATCCAGTAATGAATGGCCTTGCTATTCTTTCCCATCCGTATTCACTGAATGCCATTGAGTCCAGACACATTCTGTGGAACACTGTCTCATCTTTTCACCTGTTCCAGGCACGGCTCCCTAGTAAGGCCACTTTTTAAAAAGTCATAAAATAGCTTTGGGGACTGGAGAGATAGCCCAGCACTTAAGAGCATTTGATGTAC